TCATCCCAATACCGGACGACATATTGTTAAAGTGTCTCTCCTCCTTTCCGCCTAAGTGTCAACAGAGCGCCGATGTCCTTCGATTTCTTACTGCTGGTGATAAATCGCTTTGAAGAGCTCCATCAATTGTTTCTAGGACCTGACGCTCTCAAGAGCCAGGTTCTCATACCATCTCATGTCTGTGTCCCCTAGACTCATGGGAAAAACTCGGCACAACACCCATTGATCAGTATCATGGATTGACATTAATTGTTTGTATTATCGCAAGTGACTCTCAGGATCAGTCTTCCCATCGTAGATTTTAAACCGTGGGATAGTAAACGTCTTCGGCATTTCGGCCTCCATGATAGTTCGAATGAACGGTGACATGACTTCGTCGGCATAGACCTCGGGCTTAGGGTTGCGATAAGCGATGGGGTGGACCCTAGGATCCCCTCTTGGCCTTTCTTCTCGAGGCCTTTGGGTGTAGACTCTGTCTGTGATTCGACGACTCCGATGTCCTCAGGTATTCCTCGGCAGAGGTCCCACCGAGAAAGACTCGCCTTTTGACCCGATTCTGAATACCCCTTGGAGACCGAGAACCCACCTTGGCAGTTACGTTCCTCGGGTGAGCGTCTAAGCCAGCCTTTCCTGGAGGGTCTATGCCAAGGAGGCCTGGAAAGTTTTTGGCTGGGGACCTGGTCCCCGAGCCCGCGATTATGCCCGCCCGCGCTTGCTGACTNATTGTTAAAGTGTCTCTCCTCCTTTCCGCCTAAGTGTCAACAGAGCGCCGATGTCCTTCGATTTCTTACTGCTGGTGATAAATCGCTTTGAAGAGCTCCATCAATTGTTTCTAGGACCTGACGCTCTCAGGAGCCAGGTTCTCATACCATCTCATGTCTGTGTCCCCTAGACTCATGGGAAAAACTCGGCACAACACCCATTGATTAGTATCATAGATTGACATTAATTGTTTGTATTATCGCAAGTGACTCTCAGGATCAGTCTTCCCATCGTAGATTTTAAACCATGGGATAGTAAACGTCTTCGGCATTTCGGCCTCCATGATAGTTCGAATGAACGGTGACATGACTTCGTCGGCATAGACCTCGGGCTTAGGGTTGCGATAAGCGATGGGGTGGACCCTAGGATCCCCTCTTGGCCTTTCTTCTCGAGGCCTTTGGGTGTAGACTCTGTCTGTGATTCGACGACTCCGATGTCCTCAGGTATTCCTCGGCAGAGGTCCCACCGAGAAAGACTCGCCTTTTGACCCGATTCTGAATACCCCTTGGAGACCGAGAACCCACCTTGGCAGTTACGTTCCTCGGGTGAGCGTCTAAGCCAGCCTTTCTTGGAGGGTCTATGCCAAGGAGGCCTGGAAAGTTTTTGGCTGGGGACTTGGTCCCCGAGCCCACGATTATGCCCGCCCGCGCTTGCTGACTGCTCAAAATCATCGAGCTGTCGCTGGACCTTGGCGTTCTCCTTCTCAAGCTGCTTAATGCGTTTGCCCATCCGCTTTTTCACCATTTCTACGATATCACAGTCCATGAGGTTATGCCCCCCAAGGCCTTGATCCATAGGGAACGTTCGTTGCGAGGAATGCTCCCCTCCACCTGATTGGCCCAACGAACCCGGTTCTAGCACCATTGAAAGCCGAACGGGCTCTACGTTCCTTACACGCACATTTGCTCCTTCACCCTAANATTTTAAACCGTGGGATAGTAAACGTCTTCGGCATTTCGGCCTCCATGATAGTTCGAATGAACGGTGACATGACTTCGTCGGCATAGACCTCGGGCTTAGGGTTGCGATAAGCGATGGGGTGGACCCTAGGATCCCCTCTTGGGTGTAGACTCTGTCTGTGATTCGGCGACTCCGATGTCCTCAGGTATTCCCCGGTGGAGGTCCCACCGAGAAAGACTCGCCTTTTGACCCGATTCTGAATACCCCTTGGAGACCGAGAACCCACCTTGGCAGTTACGTTCCTCGGGTGAGCGTCTAAGCCAGCCTTTCTTGGAGGGTCTATGCCAAGGAGGCCTGGAAAGTTTTTGGCTGGGGACTTGGTCCCCGAGCCCACGATTATGCCCGCCCGCGCTTGCTGATTGCTCAAAATCATCGAGCTGTCGCTGGACCTTGGCGTTCTCCTTCTCAAGCTGCTTAATGCGTTTGCCCATCCGCTTTTTCACCATTTCTACGATATCACAGTCCATGAGGTTATGCCCCCCAAGGCCTTGATCCATAGGGAGCGTTCGTTGCGAGGAATGCTCCCCTCCACCTGATTGGCCCAACGGACTCGGTTCTAGCACCATTGAAAGCCGGACGGGCTCTACGTTCCTTACACGCACATTTGCTCCTTCACCCTAAGATCGAGTTTTCACCATCAGATGATCACTGCCGAGAAAGATGCTCTCGTTTTTCATAGACGACGCTAAATTGCACGGGATAATTCCTGCAATAGTTTGAGACAACGATCTCCAAACTGGCAAACCTGAAACAACAGGGTCAGAAAAATGGGGTCAGGTGAGTACCCGATTTACCCCATCTGAAGCTTAATTCAGTCTAACGTAGAAGGGTTTAGCTCAATAGACAATCTTTTTATGGTTCAAGTTTGTGTACCTTTGTCCATTTTTCTGAATATTTATACCTAAATTAACAATGATTGCTAAAGATCTCCAGTCCCATCTGGACATCTTTACATTTNTTGCTCAAAATCATCGAGCTGTCGCTGGACCTTGGCGTTCTCCTTCTCAAGCTGCTTAATGCGTTTGCCCATCCGCTTTTTCACCATTTCTACGATATCACAGTCCATGAGGTTATGCCCCCCAAGGCCTTGATCCATAGGGAGCGTTCGTTGCGAGGAATGCTCCCCTCCACCTGATTGGCCCAACGGACTCGGTTCTAGCACCATTGAAAGCCGGACGGGCTCTACGTTCCTTACACGCACATTTGCTCCTTCACCCTGAGATCGAGTTTTCACCATCAGATGATCACTGCCGAGAAAGATGCTCTCGTTTTTCATAGACGACGCTAAATTACACGGGATAATTCCTACAATAGTTTGAGACAACGATCTCCAAACTGGCAAACCTGAAACAACAGGGTCAGAAAAATGGGGTCAGGTGAGTACCCGGTTTACCCCATCTGAAGCTTAATTCAGTCTAACGTAGAAGGGTTTAGCTCAATAGACAATCTTTTTCTGGTTCAAGTTTGTGTACCTTTGTCCATTTTTCTGAATATTTATACCTAAATTAACAATGATTGCTAAAGATCTTCAGTCTCATCTGGACATCTTTACATCTGACACACCATTCCTCGTGCAATGAGTATTTTTTACTCACGTCTCCTCCTATTAAATGCTAGGAAGATGGAATAAATGCTCGGCCAAATGTTGAGCATTTATGCCCCTCCCCCGAGTACTCAAATCCCCCAGATCGACATCTAACATCAACTGAGCATTGAATATTCGGAGGAACAGTTCCTCAGGGGGAGCCGATCGCGTCATCTTGACGCATTAGCCATTAACACTTGGCCATCATGACAATAGGCCTAGACTTTCAGAGGGCAAGTGCTTGCAGTCGTGCATTTATTTGTCTTATCACTATCACTCATTCAACCATAAATGAGGGGTCACATCGCATTAAATATGATACCAGCTGTCGTACTCGGCTGCTCCGTGTCACCATATCTCGGCTTACCTCCTCAGCGCCTTGTGGACATCCCAACGGCTTCATTATTTCACGTGTCAACTTGGGGGCTATAGAGCCACCTAGAATCCCGCCATTATGTACTGTTTCGCTTGCCAATTTCTCTCTCTCTCTGTGTACAATACAGCGTAAAGAGAACTTAAGAATGCTTCATGTGAATCAACTTGAGAGCGGACAACTAATGTTTTCACTTTATTTCCACCCCCTTACTGTCCAACTTGAGGGCGGACAGCTAATGTTTGCCCCATATTTGATGTTATGCAGTTGATTCTGGGAAAAAAAAAAAAAAAGGAAAGATCGAATTTAAATAAATATTTGCTTAGCTAACTGAAGATATATGGTCGATGTGAAGGTATTAAGGGAGTAAATCATTTTACTCGGGCAATTTCTTCCAGTAAGTATATTGAGCAGGCTTTAACCTCTCCCCTTCTTTAACCAGATGATTATTACCATAGAGATGCCATGTCTAGTAACATTAACTATGTTTTAGTTTTAACTTTGCAGATGCTAGTGGTCATGATCTCTATTCTCCATCTTATATTTGATGTATAATGATATTGCTACATTATAATGTGTTGTAGTACAATGGATTTCTACACTAGAGATGAGATAGAAAATAATTTCCAGAAGCTAAAAGTGGTATCAATCCAACCAGACCAGAGTCGGTTTCATTTGGATGAATTATTTGAATTAGTTGCATTTGGCTCAGACATGAAGCATAGGTTTAATTATGCCGTAAAAAATGTTACATGGTTGGACCGTCTCTTTGGCCAAGTCACTCCAAATTGATAATCTTATCATTTTCTTGTCAGTAGATATTGTGCCCAATTTTGATACTAGTTTTAATTTTGCCCCAGAATTTCAATTTTTTTATTATATGTCTGATCTCTTAAAATCGTAGAGTTAGTGATTAGATTAGGTTCATGTTTCATATTAAAAGAAATGCAAAGACCAGAGAAAATAGAAGTTGAGGGAGAAATTTGAAGGTATCTTGGAATCTCCCAATTATCTTCATCTAAAATTGGATGAAAAAGGTGAGTTGTCTCAATTTTAATCAAAAATTGATATAAGTGTCGTTGTTTGGGATCGATTATGAGAATTATGGTTTATAGTGGTGAGTTATGAATCCTTCACCCTTCCACCTCTAACACTGAAGAATGCAGTAGAGACCAATTGTTTCTGCCATCCCCCTCTGATAATTAGTGTGGAACTGAAAAATAATTGACTCCGATCAATGAAGCAGAAGAATGTCTGCCTGTAGACTGCAACTAATATATTACAAATCCAAAACGATAAATACCACCAGATTTAATAATTGCCTCCTTTTTATAAGGCCAGTCGAGGACATAAAGCATAATCAATCTATTTTAGGAGTTTATTGTAATATTTTTCGCTTCAATACCGGAAAAAGTATGATATGTTCACAGCTAGTACAATAACAGGAAACCTTCTATTTTGCCAAGACATTGAAAGAATTGTAATACAACATGATTTGTGAGAAAGAAGAAAAGAGGGGGGGAGGAAAGGGTATTCAAGCCCTTGGATGTGCTTTGGATATGGCATGTCTTCATTCTTAGAGATGAGCACCATTACAAGTGCACTTTTTTTCTGCACAAGAGTTGCAGAAAAAATGCCCAAGCATGATCTCCAATTATAGCCCCTCTAGGATGTGAAATATATATCTCTTCTCATCATCCCATAGTGTACGAGACAAATGTGACCTTTCCAAGAAAAGAAAAATTCAGTCCAAACAAAGAACTAGCTTGAGATGATGATAATGTCAATAATGATGGATATGACAAGGTTTGGACCTTCAAGCTTATCATTCAATAATCAGAGTCACTAACCTCAATCGATAATCATTTTGCTCCGTACGGACATGGTAGTGAATCGTGGAGTCTGCCTGTGCCGGAGTTGACTACAACCTCAGCATCTGTTTCATGTATCTCAAGGCAGACCGCAACATTGCTCTTGCTTTCCTGTCTGGCATGCAGCCAGACAAGAGCATTTCTTCATAGACCTCAGGAACCTGCAATCCAAGCTAATTTAGAATGTCTCTAAAAAATTAAGCACGTAAAAGCAAAATTGCATCCCATTAACAAAGACCAAACAATAATCAATCACCATGATCATCTATTTTATACAAAATACCTCACATGATATTAAGGGAAAAACATATGTTTGTTCCAATTTGATGAACTGAAATCAGTATCATTGATAATAACGTGTAATTTCTATGGCATGGTCATTTCTTGTTTTATCATTGGCTACAAACAAAAAATGCTGACAAAATTATCTAAGNAAAACATATGTTTGTTCCAATTTGATGAACTGAAATCAGTATCATTGATAATAACGAGTAATTTCTATGGCATGGTCATTTCTTGTTTTATCATTGGCTACAAACAAAAAATGCTGACAAAATTATCTAAGCAGCTAAAAGTCCTCTCTTCTGGAAATAAAGAAAAACAGCATTAAAGATGGTTTATACCTTATCAAATTTCTCCACACGAATTAGAGCTTTCATTAATGTAGTGTAGGTAACTACATCCGGCTTTTGGTCCTGCAGTTTCATGATTTAACATGGGCACATAATAAGATGGCAGGATGATTAATGCATTTAAGCACACAAACTAGAAAAACAAATGCAATGGTAGGACAATATCGGGAAGTAACTTACATTTTCCTTCATGTACTGCAAGACAGAAAAGGCTTCAGCATCCCGCCTATCCTCACCAAATGCATTGATCAACGAATTGAGAGCTAAGAGACTAGGCTTTAGACCATCTCCTCTCATGATCCTGAATGCATTTACTGCTTGCTCAGACAAACCCTGGGCAAAAATGGAAGAAGGAAGTTATTGGATGCAGCCTATGGTTGAACAGCAAATCTTAATGATGAGAAGATGATCTGACAAAAACTTGAGTATCTAATAAGAAAGTTGAGGTTGGTAGGCTCAAAGTAAGATGCAGAAATATATTGCCAGGTCATTGTATTTATAATGTGCTATATACCTCATTCTCTTTATGATTCAATATTTTGTGCAACAATCAAAATCAGTTTTTTGAAAGCAGCAGAAACCATTTCATAAGACGTCCAAAAAGTTGTGATTTCATTGCATGCTGAGCTTTGAGCTCACCACTCTCATTGTATCCTTGCCATGCTGTGTGAGGAGCAATTTCGACTTAGTTTGAATTGGCAACATACAACAGAAAGGATATGCTTGGGGTCAATGATGATACGTACTTTATCTCCATGAATCTTTAAAGTTAAGATGTCCAACTGCATGAGCTAGTTGAATATAATCTCCTATAGTACCATAATGCTAAGATGGTAACAATTATGCGTCCAGTGGAGACTCGGGCCGTATTTAAAAAGAAAAAAAGCAGCATGCCAGAAAGGCCATGATAATATAAGAAACAATAGTTGCCTTTCCTCTTGACATAGGGTAATTGTGCCAAACCACATGTATCACCAGACATGGTGGTGATCCACCCATCCAATCATTTATCAGAACCCGGATTTCAGCATGAGAGGCATTAACAAATTAATAATAGATCCAGAACCTGAAATGTACTCTCATCTTGAGCCATACCAACAACGGACCTATTGTATAGAATTTAATTACTACCTCTAGAACATTGTGCAACACAAAATTTATCAGTGGAGCCTTCACAGGGATAGGACAAGTTTAGGCTGCGACTGCCATCAACAAAGCAATAGGGTGCGGTTATTCACCAACCATTATGAAAATGTCGGTAAAAACTTAATTGGTAATCATGTATCCTAGATAGGTTTTCAGGAAACAACATAAGCTTATTACCAAAAACAAAGTACAACCAAATAAACGGTAACAACATACCCTTTGTGCATAGGCATTGATCAAGGCATTATACATTGTTGATGATGGCTTCAAGCCTGCAGATTTCATTACCTCCAGGCACTCAATTGCATCATCAAATCTCCCAGATTGTCCATAAATATCAACAAGTGTGGTGTATGTAACAACATTAGGTAGTAGTCCTTGACTTTNTTTCATTACCTCCAGGCACTCAATTGCATCATCAAATCTCCCAGATTGTCCATAAACATCAACAAGTGTGGTGTATGTAACAACATTAGGTAGTAGTCCTTGACTCTGCATCTTTCCCAGCAAGCCCTTAACTTCGTCCCATCTTTCCTGCTCCCCAAATAAGTTGATCATTATATTATATGTGGTGGTGCAAGGCAAGCATCCACTTTCCTGCATTGCCTCAAACAGCTCCTCTGCTTTATTATGATGCCCAAACTTAAAGTGACAATCTATAAGGGTATTCCACGTACAAGTATCAGGTTCAATTCCTTCCAATTTCATCCGTTCTAATGTGGCCATCGCATGATCAAGGCAATNAGTTGATCATTATATTATATGTGGTGGTGCAAGGCAAGCATCCACTTTCCTGCATTACCTCAAACAGCTCCTCTGCTTTATTATGATGCCCAAACTTAAAGTGACAATCTATAAGGGTATTCCACGTACAAGCATCAGGTTCAATTCCTTCCAATTTCATCCGTTCTAATGTGGCCATCGCATGATCAAGGCAGTTGTACTTCCCAAAAGTATCAATCATCACATTATAGAACTGTATATCGGGGCGCACCCCACTATTGTTCATTTCCTTAAGAACTTGGAATGACTTTTGCCACTCTCCTCTATCACGATAACTAGCTAAAATCCTACTAAATACATATGAATTGGGCTGTACATTGTTGGCTTCCATTTCCTTCAACACAATTCTCGCGCTCTCCCACCTGCCCGCATTCCCATAAGCATCAATCAGTAAGCTATAAGTATGCTCATCCGGTGACACCCCACTCCTCTCCATCTCCGACACAATATATTCTGCATCTCTTAAAGAACCACTCTTCACATACCCTTTGAGAAGTGCGTTATAAGCCCTTGTCCTTGGCTTCAATCCACCTTCTTTAAGCTCCTCAAATACCCCCTCAGCCTCCTCAGTCCTACCCAAATTCCCCAACACTGAAATCACACTAACAAGAGTGGCAGTCTTTGGACTCAATCCACTTCCCTGAATCATAGCTAAAAAATGCAAAGCCTTACTCACATCACCAGCTTTTGCAAACCCAACAATTATGTCGTTCAATAACTGCCCATCAAGCTCAATCTTATCCGCTTCAATTTCCTCATAAAGTTTGAGTAACAAGGACGAATCAATTTTGTTACTACGCGTGAGTGACTGAATAATCAAACTATAATTCACAAAATCCGACTGATACCCATCACGGCGCATTCGAGCCACCAAATTAAGGGCTTTCTCAAGATCATCATTGCGAGCACATGCCCCAATTAACGCGTTGTATGTTAAAGGGGTTAGCGTTTGTCGCTGTGAGAACAAGAACGCCTCGTAAAGCTTCTCGGAGCGTCCAAGCGCATGAATGAGAATGGAGTAGAACAGTTCGTATGAGAAACAGAGATTGTGCTTTTGGAGCCAATCGACGAGAGAGTAAGCGGTGGAGATTGAAGACGGGTCCGAGGAGAGAGATTTTAAAAGGGAATGCCAGAGTGAAGCTGGGACGGCTCGGTAGGACTCGGCGAGTTGAAACTCGGTGGGGTTGAGTGAGGTGGGTGAGCTGGAAGCTGAGGAACTGGTGGGGTTGTAGGGGGTGGAGAGGAAATGGATAAGGGGAGTGAAGTCATACCGGGGATTTGGGAGGGAGGAGACGTCATATTCGTCGTCGTTGTCGGTTTCGAGGTTTAAGGGTTCGGGAGAGAGAAAGGTGGTGGCGCTCGAGGTGGAGGCGGCGGCGAAGAGTGGTTGTTGAAAGATTTGGTAGTGGCGGAGAATTGGAGATGTGAAGTGAATCGAAGAGAACCGAGGCAGTAGTGGAGGTCGCAATAGAAGCATGTTCATCTTCCGTTTGACATACAAATTGGACGATGTGGCGTGGTGTGCCCCGTTCGTGGAGAAGATAGTTTTTATCGGTTTTGCCTCGTTGGTGAAGAAGATACTTTATCGTTTTTTTCTTTTTACTAGTTTTTTATTTGGAAAAATTATACTTTAATCGCAACTATTAACTCGATTTTCCTTTGTCTGTTAAATTAAATTACACATATTACTCCCCTAGTCCTTGTGTCAATTAAACTCTTAAAATTTATTTTGTGTTAAGTAATTTCTTAAACTCTTTAATTTTATCAATTGAACTCCTTTATTTGTTTTTATTAGATTTTCTAATCGAAAGTGACTAAATTTGTCACTCAAGTGATACAAATTATTAGATTAAACCTCTGAACTTTTTCTTTTGTGTTAATTGAATTTTTTTGTTATTTTCTGTTATATAGTAATGTGAGTGACATACTTTAACGGAGGCAAACAAAAAGGCTCAATTGACACAATTAGATAGTTTATAGGCTCAATTGACACAAAAAAAAAAAAAAAAAGTTCCAACACTTAATTAATACAAATGTCATAATTTAGGGACCATATATATAATTTTTTCTAATTTTTATGTTATTCCTCCATCTACTTGAATTATTTTACATTGTCAAAACACAGATTTTACAAATGTCAAAACACAGATTTTTACTATTTTTTTGAACAAAAATTATTAACTTATTGGGATAAAGTAAAAATAAATTAGTTTAAACAAAAAATAAAATAATTTCTATTAAATTTATAAGAGCGTCAATAATTTGAATGATGTGAAAAAAATTATATAATTAAAAGTGTAATATTAAATAATATAATAATTGAATAGACAATGGGAAAAAAATCATAAATTCAAAGAGTTAAAATATAATTTATCTTTTTTATTTCTGCGAAGTTTTGAGTGGGGACTTAGTTCAAATGTCAAAGTGCCTTGGACTTTTACACAAATCACTGATTATTTTGAGACCCCACGGGTACTTAGTTATCTATGGGTGGTAACTTAGTGGCTCCGGCTCATCTGCTATCAATTTGTTGAAAGTATAGATAATATTATTGTTGTTAGTAATGATCACTTGAGTTTATATAAAATTAAACCTCTATTATTATAATTACAGGAGGGTAGGAGACTCAAAATATACTCTTATTTTTGTCTTTATTTATAAGTATTATGTTTTAAGAAGAAAAGCCATCATTTTTTTTAATCCGAATACCCATTCTCTTCCCTTTGGCAAAGTCTCTAACCATAGGCAGACACATATCGGACCCATCAATGGAGCAGGGCTCTGACCCACTTTCAAGTTTATTTTCTAAATTTTATATTATTTAATTAATATCTTAATGTGCATCAAATCAATGCACTTCCACACCACATAAGCAACTTTAACTAATCATCCAACACACGAAAACTAAGAAATACAAGGTTGAAGATTATAGCATTCATTTATTATATACAAATATATCATATACAAATACTTATTTTGACATACAGAGAGAGAGAGATGGAAGAATATGGGAATATATAATGGAGGGGAGGGGGGAAGGGAAACGGTTTAATGAAAATGACGATTATAAATGCCCTTCTGTGATACCAACGTGTCATTAGGCGGTTAAGAATAGTTGACATTTCCCTATATATTGTTCTCCTTGAGAAGTTAATCAAATTGTTTAACTAATGATTACGACACGATAAGGTAACTAACAAAGAAGAAGAAGAGCAAATGGATAAAAAGATTATAGCGTCAATGATAATAGTCTCATTGTTAAGTTTTTGCACCATGTGGATAAGGCTTTCTTCTCCGACAATTATAAGAAATGAAGGTTTAAATTATGACAAAGAAGCGATTGGTTTTTCCCATAATGAGTGCCATGTTGTGATTCACCATTGGTTGAATAAGGTCCATTTCTAATGCAATATAAATTTTGATTTAACAAAATGGGATAAATAGTCACTTCTACTTTATGTTTGGTAGATAAATATAAATAAACTAAAATTTAAAATTTTCAGTAACAAAGCCACACAATGTTTGAATTTGTGTTTATAACATAAGTTTTAAATGGGAATTATTGTTGANTTTAAAATTTTCAGTAACAAAGCCACACAATGTTTGAATTTGTGTTTATAACATAAGTTTTAAATGGGAATTATTGTTGATTAACTAAAAGCATCAATTTAATCAAGATTATCTAGTGAGATTTGAAAAACTCTCAAGGTTTTTTCAAAGAAACTATGATGTGATAGTTTGCTTAATGAAAATAAAAAATAGAAAACATAAGAGTTTCTTTGCTGGGACAAGATCATGTTAGGCCTACTAAAAGACACTTTATCTCCGATGCCATATGATATATTGCTTATGAAAGGGAACTAATGTCTCCTTGATTTTGTTGCGAGACAAAAGGAATCACAAAACTAGACAATGTCTATCTTCCTTTATACTTTTCCATAGTACTCTAGCAATGTTCCAAATCTTCTTTTGCTAACTTGCATAAGACTTGTGTCAAAACTTGCATAAGACCTTTTACTTTTACTTTTTTGAGAATGTAAAGGCGAAACAATTAAAAACATTTGGATTCTAAAATTTCTCAAAAAAAAAAAAAAATTTTTTTGGAAGATAAGGACAATATACATCAAATAAGTTACACAATAAGCATGTCACTTGGTTGTAATTAATGTATTTTATGATGTCATAATCATTTATTTATGAATTTTTTAGAAGTTTGTGAGATAGAAAGTGGAAACTATTGATGTTGAATCTTTGGATTGTGAACATTTCTATTTTTTCTCGTCCCTCGTCCTCATCAATGACTCAACATTGTTCTTAAATCATTAACATAAGATTTTTGGGGGCTACAATCAAACATTATCCAAATTAATCTTGAGTTAGGTTAGCGATAGCTCAGCCACCCGATAAACTTTTCATGAGGAATAAGATAAGAATNGTTAAGAATAGTTGACATTTCCCTATATATTGTTCTCCTCGAGAAGTTAATCAAATTGTTTAACTAATGATTACGACACGATAAGGTAACTAACAAAGAAGAAGAAGAGCAAATGGATAAAAAGATTATAGCATCAATGATAATAGTCTCATTGTTAAGTTTTTGCACCATGTGGATAAGGCTTTCTTCTCCGACAATTATAAGGAATGAAGGTTTAAATTATGACAAAGAAGCGATTGGTTTTTCCCATAATAAGTGCCATGTTGTGATTCACCATTGGTTCAATAAGGTCCATTTCTAATGCAATATAAATTTTGATTTAACAAAATGGGATAAATAGTCACTTCTACTTTATGTTTGGTAGATAAATATAAATAAACTAAATTTTAAAATTTTCAGTAACAAAGCCACACAATGTTTGAATTTGTGTTTATAACATAAGTTTTAAATGGGAATTATTGTTGATTAACTAAAAGCATCAATTTAATCAAGATTATCTAGTGAGATTTGAAAAACTCTCAAGGTTTTTTCAAAGAAACTATGATGTGATAGTTTGCTTAATGAAAATAAAAAATAGAAAACATAAGAGTTTCTTTGCTGGGACAAGATCATGTTAGGCCTACTAAAAGACACTTTATCTCCGATGCCATATGATATATTGCTTATGAAAGGGAACTAATGTCTCCTTGATTTTGTTGCGAGACAAAAGGAATCACAAAACTAGACAATGTCTATCTTCCTTTATACTTTTCCATAGTACTCTAGCAATGTTCCAAATCTTCTTTTGCTAACTTGCATAAAACTCGTGTCAAAACTTGCATAAGACCTTTTACTTTTACTTTTTTGAGAATGTAAAGGTGACACAATTAAAAACATTTGGATTCTAAAATTTCTCAAAAAAAAAAAAAAATTTTTTTGGAAGATAAGGACAATATACATCAAATAAGTTACACAATAAGCATGTCACTTGGTTGTAATTAATGTATTTTATGATGTCATAATCATTTATTTATGAATTTTTTAGAAGTTTGTGAGATAGAAAGTGGAAACTATTGATGTTGAATCTTTGGATTGTGAACATTTCTATTTTTTCTCGTCCCTCGTCCTCATCAATGACTCAACATTGTTCTTAAATCATTAACATAAGATTTTTGGGGGCTACAATCAAACATTATCCAAATTAATCTTGAGTTAGGTTAGCGATAGCTCAGCCACCCGATAAACTTTTCATGAGGAATAAGATAAGAATTCAAATGTCTAACGAAATGTAACCTCTTGAGGCCAAGTAAATATTGAGTGCAATGGTGATACTATGTCACTATTGATGACATGATATTACCAACTAATAATAAAATTCTAAATAGGTAAGATAAACCATATTTGAACTTACATAAAGAAATAGTACATAATTATTTGCTTACATAGTAGGTTGATTATAAGTGTTTGTGGAGTCTCTTAACTTATTTATCTTAATATTATTAATTAGTGATATAATATCACATTATCATGTGGTGTCACCGTTGTAATGAATAATTTCTCCATGAGGCCACCGTCCATAAATTCATCCATTAGTATTAGTCTAGTATGTGGGCGAGAAAGTATTGCAGTTAAAATATATATAAAAAAAATTTCTCAAATTACAAACTAAGGAAAGGAAAAAGGGCAAAAAAGAAAAAAAAGAAAAAAAGAAAAGAAGAAAAGAAAAATCACGTGCATCCCACGTGAGCGATGAGAAAGGTATTCAAAGGAAGGTTATTTCAAGAGTCCGTGCCAGGTTGTGAGTCTTGTGCCAGATAGTGTGGATACAACAATGGAGAGAAGTCTAATAATAGACTTGTATTCATGGCATCTATGTGCGGAAGCCATACATGGGTCATGGAATCGTTGTCGTAATCGGTAGAAGTTCCGTAGGTAAAAATAAAAGTTTTAATCTTATAGCCAGATCGTGTTCCCTCCCTTTTCTCTCTCTAAACCTTCCCTCTCTCCGCTAGAGGGAAGCTGAGAGAGAAAGAAAATTGTTTGCTCAGCTCCACCAGAATTCACATTGCCCTCATGGCTTTTAACCGGCGGCGCCACCCCAACCATAGCCGTAAAAGGTGCTTAATTCCTGCCATCTCCGCCATGTCCGGCGGTCTTCTCATTCTCTTTGGTTTTCTCTCTTTTCTCGCTCCTTCTCCAGTCCACAACGATCACCTCCACCATTCCCGCCGCGACTCCTCGGTATTATATCCACGTTCATATCTATATTTTATATGCGTTAAATTTACCCATTTTATATGTTTCGTGCAATTGATTTGTATCGTTGGTTCAGTTCAACGATGGCGTTGCCGTTGCGGATGGAGTTCCAGAATTTCGTGTTCCGGTTAGGGTTTGATGCTATGCTTTTTTCCTCTTTATCGATTTGTGAGAGCTATTTTTTAAGATTTGATTGGATTTGTTCTTTCTAAGTGTGATTTATTGATGTTTGAGATCTAGACCAGTGGTGGAGTATATGGTCGTGATATTTGGAGTTCAAGAATGTCCAAATTCTACTCTGGATGCAGTAATGCCAGCAAAAAGTTTGCTAGTGCGTATTTTACAATATCTCTTTTACTGTGTCGCATTCAATTTAGGATTGTTTACTACCCGTTTTTTAATTCAATTCCTACAGCTGTTAATGGAATGGATTGTTCTTATTTGAAACGCATAAATGCACCCAGTCCTTAATTCGGTATCAGGAGTTGATTTTAAATATTGCTATTATTACACTCAGTTTGATTTGGAGTTTATTGTTCAAATCACAGAAGCTGATGCTATCAAAGAGCCCAATCGGTACTTGTTGATTGCAACCAGCGGAGGCCTGAACCAACAAAGGACTGGGGTAAGTCTGTCAACAAGTGCTTTCATATTGGCTGCAGAGTAGCATTATATCTTTCAAACATTGCTAATGCATTTGTCAATAAAACTATGTCTTCATCTCATTTTACCAGTTGGCTGCGAAATGGTTGCGTTGGGGTTAAAACCTAAGGGAAGGATGCATTGGTTTTGATTTAAATCACCTTGTTTAATGGCATACTGTTCATCCGCACACCAATATTTACTATTTACCTAACTATACTTCGTGCTTATTGTGTATTAATAAAGCTTGGAGAACAATGAAAAAATGTGGAAGCTTGTTGGTTGGTTTTGTAAGCAGTCAACGTCAACATCTCTTGTTATTGTCGTTAAAGAAATCATATCTCAATTGATATTGACACTTTGTGCAAAAGAGGGGTCTTTTAAGTTAATGGCCCAAAAATGTGGAAGCTTGTTGGTTGGTTTTGTTAGCAGTCAAGGTTAACATCTCTTGTTATTGCTGTTCAAGAAAGCATAACTGAATTGTTATTGACACTTTATGCGATAGATGGATCTTCTAAGTCAATGAAAACATACAACGAAATGAACCCCAATTTTCTTTTGCCCCTGCAACCCCTTTTAAGTTAGCAGGAGATACAATAAAGTTAATATCTGGATTCTGGTGCAAAGAAATCCTCAAAAAACCGCATTTTACTTTTCTAGTTCCCTTGCATCCCCGCTTTCCTTCATCTACACCCCGTCTTGCCACCATGGTTCATCACCACTGCATAGGCCACTCCTTGTAATTTTGGACTTGTTATGTGGGCTGTTTTAAATGCTTGAAGTTCCTATTTTAGACACAACTTATTAACGAATGGGTATAAGACATGGGCCACTCATGTCCCCTACCTCCAAAAAATTATAATTCAACTGTGGTATTGTCTAATTGAATTTGTTATTATATAAAGCAAATATTTAGCATGATGTTTCTTAAAGAAGACTGTAGTTGCAACTTACAACCATGATACTTTTACCAAAATATACTGCCTGTGAATTTCTTGATTTCTGGCCAACTTTTTTTACCGATGCATGCCCATGGTTTTCTCATTGAATTGTTAATGCAATTTAGCTACCATTTACCTCAAGCAACTATATGTCTATACCTAATGGTCTTTTTTTAACCACTATGGTGTGATTGCTCAGGTTCAAAACGGTTGAATAAGTTTTAGAGCTACTTCCTGGTGCCAAACTATTTTACTTCTCTTTTGGCAGATTACAGATGCTGTCGCTGCTGCTCGTATTTTGAACGCCACTCTGGTTGTTCCTAAGCTGGACCAGAAGTCTTTTTGGAAGGATGCTAGGTTGGTCATTCAAAATACTTGTTATCACTTATGTTTTCTTATTTTTTGCCACTTAATTCTTTTTATGTTGTCTAGCTGAGCTTTTTCCGCATTTAATTGTGACAAGATCAGATGATAAACATATTGTTTTGTCTCCTGCAGTAATTTTTCCCAGATCTTTGATGTAGATTGGTTTATATCACATTTAGCAGAAGATGTTAAAATTGCAAAAGAGCTTCCAAGAAGGGGAGGGAAAATGTGGACCCCATATACAATGCGTGTTCCAAGAAAGTGTAGTGATAGATGCTATATAAATCGTGTATTACCTGTGCTTTTGAAGAAACATGTAAGTTCTCTGGTCTCTAACTCTTCCTGTCGTTGCACTTACACGTGAACATGTTGAATCCTTTGTTAAGATTTCAGTAGTTTTGTCTTTATTTGGCACGAGTGTCATATTTTTCCATTCAGTTTGATTAAAATATAATACCAGCAACAGAAGAGGTTTTCATTTGATACGTTGCTTCTGCTCAAACAGATACTGAACAGACTCTGTCTTGTCAAGTGAAATGTATTGTGTGGGTACATGTACCCATCTTAATCCTGCATCCTTGTCTTGAAGATTGTTTTCATCACTTTATTGTATTACCATTTGCTGACTCTTTCAAATATATTTCTTAACCTATAGTGCATAAACAGCCTGTAAGACTGAAAATGACTTTGTAAGTAGCTTTTCTATAATTTAGAGTACTTATAAGCATGCAAAGGGTTGGGTTTTGGTTCGGTTAAATATCATGCAGTTGTGGCTACTGACCATTGATGAGCCACAATGTATGTTCAGATGGGGCCCATAATTCTCTCCATTCAGCAGGCTCATGATTGGCCAAAGCCAACAACTTCATACACATTGATTGTGCACTGTGCAGAATCCAATTCCACATGAAAAACAATGTTTTCATATGCTAGGGCAAGTCCAAGAGTCAATAAGTATATTGCAAACTTGTACGCCCCTTCTTAAGAACTACAGTAATGTTGAACCAGCATGAAGGGTCCAACGCATGTCCCAGCTTGTGGAAATGGGTTTTTGCACCCAACCCAAAGCCGTTCTCATAGTCTATGTATTGCAATGACTAGAATAGTTTGGTCGTGGTTGTAATTCTCTCTCTTTTTTGTTAGCTACATCTATCAGGAAATTTATAATTCTTGTTGTAAAGGTTTGTCTTGAGGATATAAGCCAGATGTGAAACTGATATCTGTTTGTCTTACCCTCGTCTTATGTCCTATTACAAAGAAAGGGTAAGAATTGTATTATGTTGGAGCCAATGGGAAACCTTCTATGAAATTTTTTGAGACACATATCAGGAATCCTGTATCCACTTCCCGGTAGTTTAGATTAGATCTCGTTCTATTACATTGTTATATCTATTGCCTCTTGCCTGGGCTTGATACTGTTGTTTCAAACTAATAGCCAGTGGTTTCCATATTTATGACAGGCTGTTCAGCTCACCAAGTTTGATTACAGGCTTGCGAATAAGCTGGAAACGGATCTACAAAAGCTTAGATGCAGAGTTAATTACCATGCTTTGAGGTTCACTGATCCTATACTCGAAATGGGTGAGAAGTTGGTCCGCAGAATGAGGATGAGGAGCAAGCATTACGTTGCCGTGCACCTCAGGTAGTCTGGTTGATTGTCACCCTGTTTTCTTACCATTTCAGTCTCTTCCAAGTTCTTTTGACACTTGATTCCCTAACATAAATGTCCTTCCCTGTGGACAAAAAAAACATAACATTCCACGGTATCCAATGAGCCGCCTAATTTACTGCATATGGTGTGCTTGCTATTTAACAGTTAGATTTGTTGGGTACCACTTGAGAAACTAAAAAATACACTGCCAATCTTAGGTTAATTATGGCATGACAAGAGTAGATTACAAGTTACATGATTTGGTGAAATTTTATGACTTCACTGAGAATGCAATTAGTTGCCTGTCAACCAGAAGTTATCAATCATGTATATGTGCGGTTGTGTTTCAAGGCCTATTATTGCTATAATGGTGTTTGGTGGTGTGTGTTCGTGTAGTCGTTGCTGTTACTGCTGCCCTTTTAATTTCGTTGTTGCTGATTTCTTAAATTTTTGATTGCTGAGAGCAATGTGGAAACTTCTGTACACTGCAGTTCAAGGTTGATATTCCACCTGTAAAGGATAAGGATGAGGAAGTATTCTAATGCTATATGTTTTTGTTACAGGTTTGAACCTGATATGCTTGCATTCTCAGGATGCTATTATGGTGGAGGAGAAAAGGAGAGGAGAGAACTGGGTAAAATCCGAAGGAGGTGGAAAACATTGCATGTAAGGATCCAACTGTTGTGCTTGGCTGAATTTTTTGAAATCCTATTTAAGTAATCAATGTTGAAAATTAATTTGACCGAATTGATGATCCATTGCAATGTCTTATTCTGAAGCATTACTATTTTTTTGTATGGTTAATCTAATTTGTATTTCAATCTAAAGTACATCACACAAGATACAATGCTATATACTAGATGTCAGAATATTTATGTTAATCCTAGATATGATGCATGATTTTACACTTTTTCCAACCTTTAAACAGCTCTAGATCAACGGTTGTGTTTTTTTTTTTTTTTTTTTTTTGGGGTTGGGTTGTGGAAAATGTTAAGGTGATATATATAAACTCAACCACCATAGGGAGGGAGGAGGGGCATTCGTAAATGTACGTACCAAAGCTTAATCTGTTTCAATTATGAATCATAAAAAGCACGTGTTCCATTTGCAGATTGGCAACCCGGAGAAGGGAAGGAGGCAAGGAAAATGTCCACTTACTCCTGAAGAAGTTGGTCTGATGCTGAGAGCGCTTGGATATGGTAAAGATGTTCATATTTATGTGGCATCTGGCGAAGTATATGGTGGAGAAGAAACACTGGCCCCCCTGAAGGCACTCTTCCCGAATTTTCATTCCAAAGACACTATAGCCAGCAAAGAAGAGTTGAAACCATTTTCTGAATTTTCTTCTCGCATGGCTGCACTAGATTTCATAGTATGTGATGAAAGTGATGTATTTGTCACCAATAACAATGGAAATATGGCAAGAATATTAGCAGGGAGAAGGTATGCTGGTCTTCATGTTAGTTTGCATTTTGAGGAGCAGCATTTTATTAAAGGGGTGACTAAATTATTTGTGTCTCTTGACTGCAGGAGATATTTTGGACACAAACCTACCATTCGTCCAAATGCGAAAAAATTGTATCGGTTGTTCTTGAACAGAGATAACGGGACTTGGGAAGAATTTTCCTCCAGAGTTCGTACTTATCAAAGAGGTTTCATGGGGGAGCCTAAGGAGCTGAGGCCAGGCAAAGGTGAGTTTCATGAAAACCCATCGGCCTGCATATGTGAAGATTCTGAGGCCAAATCAAGGATGGATTCCGGTCCTCGAAAACTTGGTAAGGGGAATATTGCAACAAGGAAAGACGTGGATGTAGCTGATGATCATGTTTTTGGTGAGGAGCCAGAATGGTCCGATCCGGAAGATGAAGATGATCTAAGTGATCATCAAGGCACAAATCTGTTCAATGAGACAAGTTTGGACTATGATTCTTCCACATTTGAGGAGCCTGAGTTGGAAGAGTTGCTTTCGGATTGAATGCCAGATGTCTGGCACTTTTTCAAGAGCTTTCTGTTGTAGATGTCCCAACTTGTAAAATTCTTTGGCGCCTTCTTGTTACACATCCCTAACACAATGTGCAGCTCCAGCAAAATCTTTCAGCCATGGTGTCGCTGTTATCCTGCTGTATAATAAAGCCTCAGTGATACCACAGTACGACAAATTTTACCCACAACAATAGAATGTTGGGATATGAACAGTGAGCTCTCATCTTCCTGGGTGCGGAATCAAAGTGCATCCTACTGTACTGACAGCTTGCTTATGGCCTCGGGATGAAGGCAGGATCTTCAATGAGGGTTCGGAGTCTTTTGCAGAGAAGTTCAAGGGAATTACTTAAAAAAACACTTGCAAGATGATAGAACAAGGACGAAGCAACTGATATAGGGATTCGAACTGTAGTGATTTATTGAGGCTGCATACAGAGACAAGAATATTAAACTGCTAATTTAATTACTAATTGTAGTGATCCAAGTGATTTTTTTTTTTAAGTCTTAGTTTGATTAAGTAGATTCGGTATGACTTTGGTTGATGTCTAACAAGCTGGAGATGAAAATTTGGCAACTGCTCTTGGTTAAAGCAATGTACTAGAGCTACAGAACACTACTTGGAGTTGGACTGATTATTTATGATATTATGTTGTATAAGGGAGGGTGTAAAGCTGCCTTTTTTTTTTGCTTTGTATAATATATTTCAATAGGACTTCGTTTAGATTATAACTGCTTTTGGTGGCATACTATTTGGATTTCTTCCTCAGCCTTTAATGCCAGTCATTGCATCATCAAATAAGTTGAGTGATTTAATATCTACAAATCTCCTCTATGGAATGAACGGGAGAAAGAGAGAAAAATTCTAGAACCAAAAAAAAAAAACAAAAACCCTCTATGGATTGTTTGTTGGTTGATTCAGTGTTTAAAAAAAAGATTTTAATTGATAACGAAAAATTCGTTTCAATTATTTTTTGAAGGATATTGAAATGAATTAATATTTTCAAAGTTAAGGTATTTTGACATATTATCAACATTATTTTGAAATATTTGAACATGCTTCATAATATTTTGACATATGTGGATTAATATTTCAAAATATTTTTAAAATAAATTTTTATTCCCGAATTTTTTTAATTTTATAATGATCAAAATAATATATTAAAACGAAATTTTAATTGTAGCCCACAAGTCTGATTGGACAAGCACTGCATTCAACGGTAAAACAGACGAAAATAGCATGTTGCACAACCACAATCAGTGGGTATTTATAACAGTTGAAACGCCTAAGCGGTAGTCGACGTTGTAATTCTTGACATAAAAAGAGCTGCTCAGATCAAACGGTACTCGTCGTTGCAAGAATGCAAGGAGGATCAACAGGAATCGGTTATGGCCTCAAGTATCAGGTCAAACCCCTCTCGAAGCTATCTTCTAGTTCTCCAAACCCTCCAAGATCTGTAAGATTCGTAATATCTTGATTTTTCTTTCTGAATACTTTCTTGTAGGCGAGATGCATTGCAGACGTCAAAGCAGACACAGATCATACCAGTTTCATTGCCGGCACTCTTAGTCTCAAAGAAGAAAACGAGGTCTATGTTTGAGGTTCAATTCAAGTTTCAATTTAAGGTGTCTTGTTTGATCTGAAGCTAATTCTAACACGAAATTTCTCAGGTGCATTTGATTAGGCTTTCGTCCGGCGGAACCGAACTCATATGCGAGGGTTTGTTTTCGCATCCGAACGAGATTTGGGACCTCTCTTCTTGTCCCTCCGATCAACGCATTTTCTCCACCGTCTTCTCTTCTGGTAACCGATCGGCTACATCACTTTATTTCATTTTCATTTTCAGTGTGGATTTTATGCGAAATACGATTTAAATCCTTCGTTAAGCACATATTAAATTGTTAGAAATGCTCCAGACTGGTTTCAAGTTGTGAACGTGGAAGGTTGGTGATGGATTCGATGCTCATTTTGGCCTTCACATTGCATCAATTTTTTGTTGTTCTGAAGCAATTTACCGATTAGGTTACAACAAATAGATGACCTCTGTTTGCACCTCTAAATTCAGTGACGTTGTGCAGTTGTTTTTAATATCATAGACTTATGTATCAGTTTAGTGGAGTAAAGACATGTTTTATGGTGTGCCACATTATCTTGAAGGTGAATCTTACGGAGCAGCAATTTGGCGGATCCCCGAGCTATATGGCCAGTTAAATTCTCCTCAATTGGAACGACTTGCTTCTCTCGATGCACATAATTCAAAGATAAAATGGTGAGTTTCTTGTTCGAGGAACCACTTTTTGCACTGTTATTATTAGGACCAAGAATGTGGACATATGCTGTTATGTTTATTTAAAATGTATTCGCTCCTCAAAAATAAAATTTAAACTACACAAAGGTGCTGAAAATAAAATAATAATGTATGGCATGTGTTCAAATCACCGCCTAGTCTTCTGCGATGAACATCCAAATACATTTAATATTGATATCAATTTAGAATTACCTCACATACATACAGATGTTACTGTGGTCTAAGGTGCAAAAGATGGTGTGTATGGGCCCATTTCATTCGGAATATCTAGAACTTGAATTTTTCATGCAGTGTCTTGATATCTAAATATCCCAAAGTTANACCTCACATACATACAGATGTTACTGTGGTCTAAGGTGCAAAAGATGGTGTGTATGTGCCCATTTCATTCGGAATATCTAGAACTTGAATTTTTCATGCAGTGTCTTGATATCTAAAATATCCCAAAGTCANAGATGTTACTGTGGTCTAAGGTGCAAAAGATGGTGTGTATGGGCCCATTTCATTCGGAATATCTAGAACTTGAATTTTTCATGCAGTGTCTTGATATCTAAATATCCCAAAGTTAGCTGAACCTCTTTAATTGAAGGAGACATGCCCACTTCTGTGAAGAGAAGGTTGGATAAGCTTTGTAGCGACTTTCTGCGAGGTGAAATTTGGATAGGAGTATATATATCATCCCATGGACTGGGCATCTGGATTGTGGTCTCCTCCTCAGGGAAGGAAGGTGGCTTGGGGATCTAAAAATTGTGAACCTCCAGTCAAACCGTCCGTATTGGGAAAACAGCTGTGAAGATATGCATTAGAATCAGGAAGTCTATGGCATAGAGCAGTAGAAGGGAGGCATGGTATGACGGTAGTGACGGGGGAGGATGGATTACTACAAGGGTTAGATCTCCACAGGGATCTGTGAGGATGGGATGACTTTGCTACATTCGTAAATTTTATGGTGGTTTGGTGATGGGCAAAGGATTACAATGTGTAGTGTGTTGAAACCCCTTTTCAAGAGGGTTCTCTGGAATAGTTGTTCAGTATAGTTGTGAACAAAGATGCCTTCTTCTCTGGGATTATGAGCTTATCAAGTGGGGTTTTGAGGACCCTATTTTTTTTATTTACATGATTGAGAGCTTACTGAGGGTTCTGTGGAGATGTGGACATTAATCTCTGTCAAATCCTTATATCTGGCATCGGGAGGCAATCAAGTGATATCTTTCCCATGGAAAAGTATATGGCATACAACAATCCGAAATCAGTTGTTGTTGGTATTGTATGCACTGAGGAGGATCTAAGCCAGTTGCTTTTGCAATGCATGGTAGCAAGGGACCATTAGGCCTTAGTTCTATTTTTTCTGTCATGACTTCTATAATGCCTCAGTCAGTGGCTGATCTGTTCAAGGGCCCAAATGGTTGCTGGATAGGTGGAAAAAATCAGGAAGCATGAAGAGTAGCATCCTTAGGTCTCATGCTTTTCTGGTTGAAGATCAGTTTCTTGGAAATACTGGTTCATTGTAGAGGTTTTGGATTATTATGATGTGCGCTTGAGCTAGGGAGCTGTTTGCATACATCGTCTTTCACTTAGGTTCCTTCCCATGATGGCAGCCTACTGAATATTACTTCAATCAATTAAAATAAAGATTCATGGAAACATGCTATCTGACAAATTTTACATTTCAAACCTTGCGGGAACTTTGGAAATAGCTTGTTACCTCTAGGCACTGTTTGCTTTCACTTTATAGAGAGCTTTGAGTACAATTTGTCTCCTTTAGGGCTGCTTGCTTTGGAATTATAAGCATGAACTCAACTAAAATCAGCAATCCTTATTCATAAATAGTTGGGGTGGTTAAAAAGATAAGAACTTCAATTCGAATATTCGATATTTTTGGATGATGTACTTTTNTCTCAGTTAAACATGTTTGTACGTTGTGATCCCTGTTTTCATTTACTTTCATGTACTGTTATTTGATTGAAGTCTGATGTGCTTAATCAGTCAAGCTCTTCATATGAATGTGTTTCCCATGTTGTGTGCATGTCAGATTAATATATTTTCGATATTATTTGCAGGACATGGGCGGTTAGATGNTTCACCAAATTGTTCAATGCTTGCTCATGTTATGGTTTTATGGCAGTCATTGTGATATTGAAATCATTTGTTCATCAAAGAACATTTTCTAGGTTCTAGCATTGTGATGTTGAATATGGATTTTACACTATCCAATGTAGACATTGTGGGATAATTTTTAAATGTCCTATTGAAGAACTTGTTCCTTGCAATTTATTTCACCACTTAATGTGCTGTATGTACATGACAGTGTGCTTTGGTGGCCTACTGGAAGGTACGACAAGTTGGTCAGTATTGATGAGCAGAATCTCGTTCTTTGGAGCTTAGATTCTTCGAGGAAGACTGCACAGGTATGGGTGTTCAAAAAGTCATCAGAGTGATCATATGTTAGGCATTGGTTTAGTTAACATGTTATTTATATCTTGTTGCTTGAACTTGTCTTGTGGTATTTCTAGCTACAGTTTGCTCTTTAACAAGTAATATTCAATAACTTTTATGTGATAGTTACTTGAAACATTAATCTATTAGTTTGTAATAATTAAGGACATTGTGGGCACATTGTTTATTTAGAATGTTATGTACAAACGGTTGTAGATCTAATTGAAATTATGGCTATGTTACTCCTGCATCATTGGGCTAATTCTTATTTAGGTCTTTCTGCAATATTTAGGTACAATCACAGGAGTCAGCTGGCATGCTTCATTATTTATCTGGTGGAGCATGGGATCCACTTGATGTAAATGCTGTTGCTTTAACATCTGAATCATCAATCCAATTTTGGGATCTGCGAACAATGAAGTATGTTGGATTTTCAATTCGATGTTCCTGCCTTATTTTCTCTCTCAATGGATGACAAGCAAATTACTAGCATGTTTAGGAGGAACTAACTAGATGTGTTGCATAAGTCTGCATATTGTAGACACTGTTTATGAAAAACATGGAAGTCAGATGCTTTGAGCTACATTGAGCAAGCTGAAAGAACTGTATTTAGGAAAAAAAATGTGGGTTTGCAAGTTAATGGACTTGAACTATCTTATTAAAATTGTTGTAATTGCACATTCAAAGCATCATAATATTTGCACGATAGATATGCATGCTAGTTAGCAATGTCTTACCAAGTTATCAAGGCATCCCTGATTAGCTAAACTTAGGGCTGTTCAAAAGGTATACCATCTTTTCCCTATTGCAGTTATGTGCTTTTCAACTTTATATGTGTTGTGTGTTGTTATCACTATCTGCATCTATACTATGATTGATGGTTTAATGTTTTACCTCTTCTTTTTCCAGTACTAATTGCTGGCAAACAGCCATGTGTTTTTTAGATTCCCTCTCAGTTAGTTATTTTCCCCTTGCTTTACAGAATACCTCTCTCTTTGATATACATTCTATGAAATTGACTTACAACTGAGTTGAATGTTCCTCTCTTTTTCTCCCTCTTCCTTCTCCTCATATGTCTGACTGTATTGGGTGTGTTCTCACCTGTCTTGGTTAAAAGGTTTTTTTTTTCCTCCAGGTAGCACGTTTTGTGTCCACAATGTCATTTCATTGTTGGAATTGTTAATTGTTTGAGGTTTTGCCGCCTTGAAATATATTATTGGCGTCTTGTTGGATTTTGATCAATGGATAATAACACCCAGATTCACGTGCTTACAGGAAAATGAATTCAATTGAGCATGCCCATATTCGTAATTTGGACTATGATACCAAGAAGAAATATATGCTTGTAAGTATGTGGCTTTGATCGAGTTTCAAGTTTCATTGAGGATTTTGTAAGGTCCAACATTTGCAATTTTATGCATTACTGTTTCGTAGTTCCGAATGGAGTGACATTCTTGGTCCTTACTGGCTTATGTATAGGTCATTTGTGTGAAGCGATTGCATATTTGTTGCTTAACTTACTCGTACAAAGGCAAATTCAGAACAATCTTGCCGACATGGAATTGCTGTCATAATGTATATGACATAACTGCTTCCCCATCTGTGATGAAAATGAGAAAAAAGAAGACAAGAATAATATCAGGACGTGATACAGATGCCTGTCCAAAAGTTATCCTTCCGAGATTAGTAACAATCAGTGTGCATCCATGTATTTGCGAAATAAGTGAATTTACGCTGTTTCAACAACTATGACGGGGCATTATCCTATTATTGTTTGTAATTTACCTCCCACGTACGCTGATGTAGACAAACATTTAACATTCCTACCACCACCTAGGAAGATGTGGTAGGGGCGTGGGTGGGGGAAGGTTTTTAAGGTCCAAGTTGCATTTTCAGACATGGGGCCAGTTGGTGGGAGGGAGGGGTGGTAAGAAGAGACTCTTAAAGGCAAAAAAAAAGAAAAAAATCATATCAAGCACAATTGAGTGATTCGGTCTCATTTGTAAACCGTTACTTTCTCACTGTTTTCGTTGACTGCATTGGCAAATTGTGTGAAGAGAAAGGAGTAACGAGAAGTATCTTTCAAAAGGGCTATCCTCGAGTCTTTTGATCATCTTTTTTGGGTTTTTTTTTGTTTTTGTTTCTGCTTATGGGATTGCATACTAATCTTACTTTTTTACAGGTAACAGCAGAGGATGAGTTTGGGATACACATATGGGATCTTAGAATGCCAAAAATTCCAGTCGCTGAGCTCCCCGGACATGCACACTGGTATTAGTCTAATGCTCTGGCCTGCTCTCAGTTAAACATGTTTGTACGTTGTGATCCCTGTTTTCATTTACTTTCATGTACTGTTATTTGATTGAAGTCTGATGTGCTTAATCAGTCAAGCTCTTCATATGAATGTGTTTCCCATGTTGTGTGCATGTCAGATTAATATATTTTTGATATTATTGGCAGGACATGGGCGGTTAGATGTAATCCTGAGTATGAAGGACTAATATTGGTTCTCTCTCTCTCTCTCTCTCTCACACACACACACACACTGTGCACAACCATTTTTTCTCTTTGAAAAACTTTGTAAATATCTTTTGACTCAAAATGATTGGAAACAGAATTGTATTAGCTTATGTAATTATATTATTTTGGTCCTGTTATCTCCCGGATAAAATTATAGATTTAAGACCCCCTTTTCCTTTACATTCAACTGAAATCTTGGGATATTGGCATCCGCTCCATCCAGCTATCATCGCTGGTCAATGACAACCTGACTTTAAAAGAGTTGCCCTGTCCGGTCTCCCTTTTTGAGAGAATATTCTTCTGGTTGAGTGATTTCTTTCATTTGAATGACCTTTTGTGCATTTCCCTAGCCCAAGTTGTTTTGCTGACAGAAACTAAGCTTTTGCAGAGTGCTGGAACAGATTCAGCTGTCAACTTGTGGTTTGCTTCTGCTCCTAGTGGTGATGATTTGACATCTGAAAGGTCCATTTCTTCTTTGGTAGTTCTGAAACTTTATGAAATCAATTTCTTTGTTTAATTGCTTCTGACATTTCCTGCTTCTATGTGGTTTTGGCAGCTTGGTGGAGTCACCTACCAGGCGAGTAGATCCATTGCTCAATTCCTACAGTGACTATGAAGACAGTGTTTATGGTGATTGCTGCAACCTCGATTTTCTATTCACCTTGACTGAACTTTGGCTAACTGCTATTCTAATTGCAGGCCTTGCTTGGAGTTCTAGAGAGCCTTGGATATTTGCATCATTGTCCTATGATGGGAGGGTAAGTACACTATTTTTTATGGTTGGGATAATAATAACTGGGAAATTATCCACTCATTGGCTGATATATATTTTTCTTACATAGAAGGATACAAAATTTACTTTTCAAAAATAAAAAGAGGATCTGAAATCTCTTGAATTCTTTGTCCTCTGGTCTCTAATTCAAAGTTATACCAAATTACATGGTGAGCATCAGATGATGTTGCTCATCCTGATAGCTCGTAAACTATTTGAATCAAGTGGGAAATCAACGAGTTTTGACCATGCTGTAACACTCTAGTTGGACTTGCCCTTGCAGTTTATGATGCCATTAGGATAGATGGTTTTTAGTTCATGCAGAATCATTTGCTCAGTCATCTGTGAGCTCTACATTACAGAAAATAATTTTTCTAGAGTAGATTTTTTCTGTATATTTTCTACTACAAAATTTTGTATAAAATTGTGTACACTTTAAAGCTATCATAAAATCTGGTTAAAATTAGAAGGGAGCATGTAGATGAGAATCCAGTTGTTAGCAATGACATGACAATTCCTTGATTCCTAAACAGAACCATTATGGAGTAGTAGTATTATGTCAATTTGACTTGTCCCAACATTTTGCTATATTCAGGCCTTACCAACGTAATGAAGAACTGAGGAACATAAGTTGGATTTGGAACTGTTGGCACCTAATTGTCGAACCTTGTTCACAATTATGATGTGCTGCTGCCTAGATGTTCAAATTCTGATTTTAATTTCCCTTTCTTTGCAACACAGGTAGTTGTAGAATCGATAAAGCCTCATCTTCCCAGGAAATGAATTTGAATAATGTAAGGGGTGCGAATTCTTAATTCCTTGATTCCTATGTCACTACTCATACCTTAGTGTCTTTGTCATTCTGTTTCTTATCTCTTGGTTCTAAGTGCAGAATTATCTTTACCTTCGCAAGCTTAAGTTCTATAGAATCCTAATGCCATCACGATATTGTGTTACTCTGATCTGGTACAACATNGATTATAAAATTGACACAATTATTAAATGCGTATAATAAATAGTTTAGACTAATATTTAATACTCAGAACGGATTTTTTTTATGAGTCTTGACACGAACACGACACAATTGACACTACACACTTATGGTTCGTTTGGTAGGGTGGATGAAAAAGTAAAAAGATGAAAAGTAGAAGTGATACAGTTTTCATCCTTCAAGAAATGAATATTTTCTTTCATCTTTTGTGTCTGGTAAGAGAGATAGAAAATAAGAAATATTGACTTTTTTGTGTTTGATAAATGGAAAAAGTATTCTTTTATTTTTTTAAAAGAATATAAATACATGTTTATCATTATATTTATATATGAAATTAATGTATATATAATATGTAATTGATAAATATGATATATGTGTATATCAAATGATATATCTATATAATAAACATAGCAATTTAAGAGATTGTTTGGTTGGTGTTTTTGTTTTGCATTTTGTGTTTTTGTTTTCATTTTTTTAGGTAAAACAAAAACAAAAACATGTTTGGATTTATGTTTTTGTTTTATATAAAAAAAAGATGTTTCGGAAACGAGGTCCAAAAAAAAGATGTTCTAGGAAACATATTTTTTGAAAACACACGTTCCACAGTGCTTATTTACTGAGATTCCCCATTCGAATTCCTTTAGCAGCAACAAGAAGCCTTTTTTTGTGTTTACTATAAAAACCCTTTGAAGGGTTTCTTCTCTCTCTCTCTCTCTCTCTCAGACGACAAAAAACTCATACAAATATCGATCCCTCAAACGAAGACCTCAGATGAAGACGATGATCAATCCCTCAGACAAACAAAAACAAGATGATATTTTTTCTCTATCTTGCTCTTGTTCTCTGTAAAACCCAGAAGATCTGTGAATGCATAAATCTACACATATTTGTGTGTGTGTGTTGTGTTGAGTCTTTGTGTGTGTGTGTGAATGTCAAGTCTGTGTGTGTGTGTTGTGTTGAGTCTGTGCGTGTGTGAGTGATGAGTCTGTGTATGTGTGTGTGTTGAGAGGACGATGACGATTTCAAGAATCTTGAAGACGATGATGCAAAATTTTTAACAATATTAGGCAGATTTGGAAGAATTTTCCTTTGTAATTGACCAAAATTCATGATCAATTCAGAAAAATAAATCAAAAAATAAACATATAANGTCTGTGTATGTGTGTGTGTTGAGAGGACGATGACGATTTCAAGAATCTTGAAGACGATGATGCAAAATTTTTAACAATATTAGGCAAATTTGGAAGAATTTTCCTTTGTAATTGACCAAAATTCATGATCAATTCAGAAAAATAAATCAAAAAATAAACATATAAGTGAAAATCTTGAAAAAATGTCAAAAAAAATCAAATGATTGATTTAATTGCAATTTAGGATTGATTGAATTGCCATTTGAAATTAATTTAATTGTCATTTGGAATTGTTGAATTGTCATTTGGGATTGAATAGTCATTTACGATTGATTGANAAATAAATCAAAAAATAAACATATAAGTGAAAATCTTGAAAAAATGTCAAAAAAAATCAAATGATTGATTTAATTGCAATTTAGGATTGATTGAATTGCCATTTGAAATTAATTTAATTGTCATTTGGAATTGTTGAATTGTCATTTAGGATTGAATAGTCATTTACGATTGATTGAATTGTCATTTGAGATTGATTAAATTGTCATTTGAGATATTGTACTATATCATTAATTTATCGAATTAATTCAATTTGTTAAGCCTCAATATCATTGTTGAAAGAAAGAAACAGGAGACTTAACTTGAAATAGTTACCAAACATATATTTTTTTTTATTCTCATAATTTGATCGACACAAATGACTCTCAAACATGTTTTCTGTTTCAGTGTTTACTACAAAATAAAGACAAAAATTATCTCTATTTTTGATTTTTTTGAAGACGAAAAAACAAAAATGNTGTTAAGCCTCAATATCATTGTTGAAAGAAAGAAACAGGAGACTTAACTTGAAATAATTACCAAACATGTTTTTTTTTTATTCTCATAATTTGATTGACACAAATGACTCTCAAACATGTTCTCTGTTTCAGTGTTTACTACAAAATAAAGACAAAAATTATCTCTATTTTTGATTTTTTTGAAGACGAAAAAACAAAAACGTTACCAATCGACCCCTTAATTTTTATCCCTTAAATATTTTTCCCCTAAAAAATCACATTACTTATTTCTATCACATGTTCAATCATTTAATATTTAATTAATTTATAGTTTAACATAATTTTTATTTCAAATATTATCTATATACGATAATATACACATATTAAAAATTTTTAATATAGTAGGATCAATTTTTTTGGGTGCTCATATTTTATATTTTATCATGCCTTCAAACATGAATTATAACTAGTAGACAAATAACATATTTTAACACACATAATTAATTATTCATCCACTTTTCCTCCCAATTTTGGAGGGNTTTATATTTTATCATGCCTTCAAACATGAATTATAACTAGTAGACAAATAACATATATTTTAACACACATAATTAATTATTCATCCAATTTTCCTCCCAAGTTTGGAGAGATTAATTTTAGTGAAATAAAAGAAAAATTAATCCATCTATTTTTTTATTCTTCCTATTTTTTTTTCTTACCAAAAAATATATTTTATCTACTTCTCTAACATTTTATTTTTTTATTTTTGAATCGTACCAAACAAAGCCCTAGGTGAAAAATCTTTTAACTATATTTATATTATAACTACAATAAATTTATCATCCTATATTTAGAAAAGTGCACACAAATTGTTAATTGCAGATGGACCGCCAGAGCTTAAATATAGGAGGTTGATATTATTAGTCACACCAAGCATCATTCCTTTCGGATAAAAAGGATGATTAAATCTCAAAGCCCACAAGAATGTTTATTTCAATAAATCTAATCATTACACCAAAGTATTCACCGTCTTTGCTAGTAATATAGTAATCGAGTATATATATATATANTTTATTTCAATAAATCTAATCATTACACCAAAGTATTCACCGTCTTTGCTAGTAATGTAGTAATCGAGTATATATATATATAAATAANAAGCCCACAAGAATGTTTATTTCAATAAATCTAATCATTACACCAAAGTATTCACCGTCTTTGCTAGTAATATAGTAATCGAGTATATATATATATATATGTCAATACAGAATGTGGAAGTCCACGTGGCAAATAAGGATAGGCCAAAACAGTCCACGTAATCCTTTTATTTTTATTTTTTTGTTAATTATTTTTGCTAAAACTTAAAATGTCGTCTTCAGAAATTAATTTAAAAGGAAAAACAGAATGTGCTCACGTGGTTTGATGTTTAAGGGCTCTAATTCCTAATACATTCCCCTCGATGAACCCAAACTAAAACACTTGTTTACCTAATCTAACCTTATAAACCATGATGCAATAACCACCCAAAACCTAAAATCCATCCCATTCATGCAATGGCCATCCAAAACCTAAAAGCCATCCCATTCAAGCAGAAAGAATAATATTGGAGAAGGGTTTCGGAAGAACAACACAAAGAAGGCTGGCCAAGAGATGATGGCCATGCCCCTTCTAAAAAATCCACAAAAAACGGTGATGCAAATTAAGAGATGGGTTTTGAATCTTGATTGGCGTCTCCTTCTCTTAATCTTTCTTCCTATCTCTCTCCTCATATTTTTTTCTCTCTCCTCCGGCACCACCACCACCACCACCTTTAATCCTTTTTCTTCTTTCGTTCCTTGCAAATCCATTTGTCACGATCATGCCCCTTACCACCCTGGTCCATCGATATCGTCCCTGAATGGGGTTCACGGTATGAACAAGTCGGATAGGAATTGGTGGCTGAAGGAGAAAAAGGACGAGTTGGATCGGTCGAGAATCGCTGTCTGCTTAGTGGGTGGGGCTAGGAGGTTCGAGCTCACTGGACCGTCGATCGTTCAGATGATTCTAAAAGTCTACCCGAATTCGGATCTTTACTTGCGCAGTCCGTTGGACTCCATGACATACAAGTTGTCGTTGTTGAAGGTAGCGCCTAGGATTGCCTCCGTGAAGATATTTAAGCCGAAGGTCATTCCGGTGACTGAGTCACATGTCCGAGTTCTCACAGCTCAAAACTCACCCAATGGCGTACAGGTATGTATATCAAAGATTAGTATAAAATCTGTGGATTTGATATAGTTAGCTGCGTTGGTTATATCCGTCGCCAAATCCTTGAAAAACTCAATGCAGCTTAGCTGCCCATTCCTTCGCACCAAGCAACCAAATTTTATTGCAGTTTGTTCACGTATTGTTGTCTCTCTTTGGTTTGTTGTGATGTTTAGGTGTACCTAAGTTTGCCTTCTAACTTCAATTACATTTTTTTTTTTTAAGGTTTTGGTTTTGGTTTGCTTGGGCTAATGGAGAATTACATCTTTTGTTTGTTGATTCGTGATTATATGGTAAAAATACACAATTACCCACATTTTTTTTGCATATAATTATTTTCTCTTGAATATAAGGCTAAGCTGATAAACCATGGGCCTAATCTTATTTATTTTTTCAGTTAAGTCATAGCTAGGGCAGTTTACATGCAAATGTCAAATACCCGTGTAGAGAATTGTCCTTGCTAGCTGCCATGCAATGTAGTTTTGACAATTGAACATTCATGGTCAAAACCATATAATTATGTTGTACGATGAAGCCTGTGTGGTTGGCCCCTTCACCAGAAACGAAGATCAGTCAACTTGTTAAACGACGTATTAAACAATGTTGAGTGATGGAGATTACGACGTTAGCTTGGATAGACTGCGTAATGAAAATTTTATTTTACTCCTTAATTGACTATGCATTACGACACTTTTGTTAGACAGTCGGATTAATGTTATTGAAATTTAATTTATTATATTTTTTAAATTAATTATGGATTTATTAAATATTGAAACAGTTACGATATTTCATGGATCTTATTTGTTAACTTTATTATTTTTTGTTATTAGATTGATTGACAGTGGACCATATTATTATTAATTGGTACACATTATCAATTCAATCTCTATAATCCATCATGTCAACGAATAAAATCATTAAATTAGGTATAAATATTATATCTCTACGATCAAATTGTATCATTAAGTCACATAAATTTTTAAGTTCANCAGTCCGTTGGACTCCATGACATACAAGTTGTCGTTGTTGAAGGTAGCGCCTAGGATTGCCTCCGTGAAGATATTTAAGCCGAAGGTCATTCCGGTGACTGAGTCACATGTCCGAGTTCTCACAGCTCAAAACTCACCCAATGGCGTACAGGTATGTATATCAAAGATTAGTATAAAATCTGTGGATTTGATATAGTTAGTTGCGTTGGTTATATCCGTCGCCAAATCCTTGAAAAACTCAATGTAGCTTAGCTGCCCATTCCTTCGCACCAAGCAACCAAATTTTATTGCAGTTTGTTCACGTATTGTTGTCTCTCTTTGGTCTGTTGTGATGTTTAGGTGTACCTAAGTTTGCCTTCTAACTTCAATTACATTTTTTTTTTTTAAGGTTTTGGTTTTGGTTTGCTTGGGCTAATGGAGAATTACATCTTTTGTTTGTTGATTCGTGATTATATGGTAAAAATACACAATTACCCACATTTTTTTTGCATATAATTATTTTCTCTTGAATATAAGGCTAAGCTGATAAACCATAGGCCTAATCTTATTTATTTTTTCAGTTAAGTCATAGCTAGGGCAGTTTACATGCAAATGTCAAATACCCGTGTAGAGAATTGTCCTTGCTAGCTGCCATGCAATGTAGTTTTGACAATTGAACATTCATGGTCAAAACCATATAATTATGTTGTACGATGAAGCCTGTGTGGTTGGCCCCTTCACCAGAAACGAAGATCAGTCAACTTGTTAAACGACGTATTAAATAATGTTGAGTGATGGAGATTACGACGTTAGCTTGGATAGACTGCGTAATGAAAATTTTATTTTACTCCTTAATTGACTATGCATTACGACACTTTTGTTAGACAATTGAAATTTAATTTATTATAATTTTTAAATTAATTATGGACTTATTAAATATTGAAACAGTTACAATATTTCATGGATCTTATTTGTTAACTTTATTATTTTTTGTTATTAGATTGATTGACAGTGGATCATATTATTATTAATTGGTACACATTATCAATTCAATCTCTATAATCCATCGTGTCAACGAATAAAATCACTAAATTAGGTATAAATATTATATCTCTACGATCAAATTGTATCATTAAGTCACATAAATTTTTAAGTTCAATTACATTATTTAATACGAAAACCACTTATTCCATAGACCGTAATACCCATCTCCAAGTTGCTGATATTTTCCCAGTCCATAATCTTTTTCGGGGATATAAATGTCAATTCATTTAATTTTCTCTCTCTCTCTCTCTCTCTCCTTGCAGGGACTATTGCAGTATTTCAACCTGGTAGAAGGATGCGTAACAATGATTAAAGCTTACCAAGAACAGAACAGCTTCACATACGACTGGATAGTCCGAACCCGAGTCGATGGGTACTGGTCCTCCCCATTGAGTCCCGTAAACTTCATCCCCGGTCAATACCTGGTCCCACCCGGCTCCTCCTACGGTGGACTTAACGATCGTCTTGGCATCGGCGATTTCAACACCTCCACGGTAGCGCTGTCGCGCCTCTCACTCGTCCCCGAACTTGACTTGGCTGGGTTTCGCCAACTCAACTCGGAGTGCGCATTCAAAGCCCAACTCACCACCCAAAACATAGCCTACATCGCCAAACGCCTCCCATTTTGCGTCGTAACTGACCGGAAATATTCTTTCCCGCCGGATAATTATGGCGTTCCGGTTGCAGCCTTGTCCAGTCCGGGACCACTGAGTGGGGCCAAGTGTAGGCCATGCGAGCCGGTCTGTACTGGGGGATGCGTGGGAAATGTGATGAATGGGCTGGACAGAGGGTGGAGCTGGACTGACTGGGCCAATGGGAGTCTTCAGCTTTGTGATGCTCACGCAGAGTGGCAAAATGGTTGGGAGGAGACATTCGACAAAACAGCCGGGAAAAAATTAGCCGCCGCGAGGAAGCAAGTTTGGGGTTTGAAGTTGGAGCAATGTGTGAATGATTTTGAGGAGATGAAGAGGCGGACGGCGAACTGGGAGGCTCCGCCGGCGGCCGAGGTTTGTGCGCTCGGTTTGGGTTCGGGGTAGAGCAAAAATACGCCGGAGAGGGGGGGTTTGCTATGGTACTTTTGGGAATATAGACAATGATTAAGTTATTTCAGAATATACTTTGTAATTATTTTTAATTACTTCTTTACTCAAAAAAAAAAAATACTTCTCTACTTTGGTATTATCATTCTGTATGGAGTTTGGCGAAGGACAAGCGAACGAATTAAAGAAAGGAAAATTGAAAAGGAGGCGAAAAAGGGGAAAAAATATAATTATTATTTTTATTTGATATGGAAAGAAAATGAAGAGAAACTTAAAAAAAATCCTTTTAAAAGTTTGTTAAAAAAAACAATAGTATGTAAAAGTGATAGGCCACGTGACAAGACTTTAGGCAACTCAATAACTTCAAATTGACACTTAAATGGTTATAATCGATATTAAGTTCAAAAGGCGTTGGGAGAGGAGTCGAGCAGTGATGACCCAAAACAGTCGAAAAAAACTGATTAAACTCAGCATTAAAGAAAATATAACTACTCATTAATAGCGACTTGAGTGATTGTAACAGAGTAATTAACAAGTCTTTACATTCTCGAGACCTCCAGAGATAGTCATTATTGTAAAACATTGATTGCTATTACACCGAATTGATGTTCTCAACAAACCTCGAGATCCTTGTTTCTGAGCATTAAACGCTCGGGAATTGGTGTCAAACACCAATAAGATGTATTTAATGATCGGGGGTAGACCCATAAATGCTCGACAAGCCTCGAGCAATTCGATTGCCGAGTGAATCAATTTAAGGAAATTTGAGGGAAAAACACTTAGTATGCATAAATAAGAGTGTGAGTCATTAAATGTTGAGATGAGACTCGAAACTCCGACACGCATGGCTTGTTCAAGTATAAATACCTCTCAAAAAGATGGATGAAGGTACGTGAACCAAAATCGAGAAATTACATTGTGCTTGTCACCAATACCGACTGACTTAAACTTTGGAGGGACCTTTTCCTAACCCTTTGATTGTTTCAGGTTCATTAGCTAATGAGTCGCTATCTTTATTCATTGTAGGAATTCACCCGTGCACTATGATATAGATAAATAGGTCTACTGGCCATCACAATAATAATGTTGAAAATTTTCGGTCACACTTTTTTTAGTTTATTATATTTTTAAGAATATCTCTTCTATTTTCAGTCACACCCTTACTTTTAAACTACCGTTTTCAACAAAAAAAAATCTAAAATACTAAAATTACCCCTACATAAATCTCAAATAATCTTTTTACATAAAATTCGATTAAAATTTAAATCGACTAATATTTATTTTTCTACATATTAAAATTCAAGTCGATTAAAATTTATTTTTCTACATATTAAAATTCGAGTTGATAAAAATTTATTTTTCTACATATTAAAATTTGATTCTAGTTGAATAAATTTTATTTTTTTTACGTATTGAAATTTGAGTTGATTTGAACCTTACTTGAGTTATTAGTCTCGATTAAAATTCACTTTGAACCGATTAAAATTTATATTTTTTACTTATTAAAATTTAATTGAAGTTGGTTAAAATTTATTTTTTTATGCATTAAAATTTGAGTAAATTAAAATTTATATTTTTTTATGTATCAAAATTCGGACCGATTAAAATTTAATGCTAGATGATTAGAAAATTCATTTTTAATTGACTCGAATAGAACTCAAATTTTAATACGTAATAAATATAATTTTTAATGGACTCGAATTTTAATATTTAAAAAATAAAATTTAATTAACTCAAATCAAATTTTAATTGATTAAAATTTTAATACATAAAAAAATTTAAAAAATAGAGGGGTCTCATTGAAGATATGTCTATCTAGAAAGGATATAAATAAATTTTTTTTTAAATATATCATAGACAATTTAAAAAAAATTATACTATAATTAATATCTTTAATTTGAAAAAGGGTGTTAGTAAAGATTCAAAAAATAAAAAAAAACGTCTTTAAAGATATAATAAAGTAGAAGAAGTGTTGTTAAAATTTTCCCGACATTTTCCATCATGGAATTTCTTTTGCCCCCAATGTACTGCAACCAAATGAGAGGGGAGTGGACAGAAATGTTTGTTCAGAGTGAAAGAATTAAAGGAGGGTTTGCAAGATTCAGTGATGAGTGTTAGATTTTTTGATAATTCAGATTCAGACCCATTTCATTGAATTTTGGGGGGATAAAAAAACTTGTAGATGTTGTAAGGTGACACATCAAATCAGATGCCCTGTTTTTCTATGCTGAAATTAATTTAGTACAAATGTAAATTTTTTTAAAAATGAGCAATGCTATATGGACTTAAAAGTAGATTTAAAAATTAGACTTAATAATCTCAACCATTGATTTTACTGTGAGTCCCAATTTTTATTAAGACCCACTACATATTCAATGATTGAGATTATCAAGTCTAAATTTTAAATCTATATGACATTACTCTTTTAAAATTTACGCCCATTGAGTTTACCCATCATATAAAACTCATATAAAACTCACAACCATGGGGCTGTAGGCCCTACAAAGCTCAGTTTCTCCAATTCAATCCCCATGCTTATGACCAATTCAAATATGGATTGCGTGGCCCACCGAGTTATTTTTTTCTCAATTTCACTCATCAATCCACCCTTACTCTTTCCCATGAACCGAACATCACCTAAAACCCACAAAACTAACATTATAGCTTACATTAATTACATACTTATCGCCTAACCCTCCAACTATCAGCTACTAGTATCTTTTTTTTTTTTTTTTTCTTTTCCATATGTCAGTACATTAAGTGTCACACACACGAGTAAATATTGTGTGTAATAATTACATTATGTTAACAATACTAATGTAATATAATCATTTAATAAAAAAATAATAAAATGAGACTCACTTCTTATCATAAAAATAGTTATATATTACATAATTGACATGATATAATAGTTATCCCTAATATATTTTTCACACATGGATGTCTCAAAAAGAAGATTTAAAAAATCAACCGTCATCTTCCATAAGAATTGACTTCTTAACCAAGATGGTTAGAAAAATTGTAAGACCATCTTCAATTTTTACTCTTTTTTTAATTTTTTTTTTTACCCTTAAAAACCTTCTCTCCCATACCAAATGAAAACCCAAATCGATGAAAATATTTTTTTTGAAACCCAAATCTTTAATAATAAAATTAAACTCTCCTTTAAAAATTCAAGAGTCATATTTTATCTTCAAATTTAACATTGTCTTCTTTTAAAAAAGAATTTATCTATGAAGTAAACTAGGCTCAACTAATTTAAACGATTTAGGTAAAGAAAATGACCCCATTATATCCCTTCCTTATTTCCAAACCACCAACTAAACTAGGTCATGATTCTTCAGCATACAAAAGTTTTACATCTGACAACACACCAATCCCAATTTAGGCTGTTAACCACTTGTCTCCAGCAAAATGCACTAGCATAAATAGTAGTTCGACATGGGCCATGTGTGTGCTTGTATTCATGGGGCTGCTGAGACTCAGTTGTATCCTAAGGTCTCATTCCGTGTTTAGGACATTAAATAGTAAATTTTTTGTCGTAACTGTAGAGAATCAAATGAAAAGCACTGGTAGAGAATCAAATGAAAAGCACTGATATTCGATGTGAATAAATTGAATTGTAATGCTACTATTTATTTTTAAAATAATAAAATACTTGTCAATTCAAGCCCCGAAAACACAAGGACCAACAAAATTTAAAATACTTGTAAACCCAGAAAATTATGAAATAGAAGTCAACCAACACACTTAAATTCATTTTATTTCATGCAAAAACACAAAATATTTTCAGCCAAGGAGCGACGAGCTTGAGCTACTGAATATAAGATTGGCTTGTGATATCGATGTCACGGTCGCCCGACGAGGGCGGTGGCCTATGCTCGNAGAAAATTATGAAATAGAAGTCAACCAACACACTTAAATTCATTTTATTTCATGCAAAAACACAAAATATTTTCAGCCAAGGAGCGACGAGCTTGAGCCACTGAATATAAGATTGGCTTGTGATATCGATGTCACGGTCGCCCGACGAGGGCGGTGGCCTATGCTTGGGCTGGGCAGTGGGCTCAACAGGCCCATCCGCACTTTGGGTGTCACTGGCGGGTGGCTTCACTGGTTTCTTTGGTTGGCCCTCCTCAGTGCCATACATTCCACCTTCGGTGACCGGCTTTATAGCCGATATATTGGGTGGTTGGTGCGTATGGTTCGGAGAAATATTGCGGGGTGGCTGCGTCTGGCCTCCATAACCATTGCTTGTCCTGGTTTTCCGTTGTTTCCTTTGGTCGAGACATTTTTTATCCAGATCTAACTACTACAATCCCTTTATGTATTTCTTGTGCATGCGTTAATATGGCGACACATGGCCTCATTGAAACGTGTCTACAGAAATCACCTGCCATCTCATTTGTGTTGAATGCAATTTTCAGTTAGTTTTAAGTTATTGTTTTTACAATAATGNACGTGTCTACAGAAATCACCTGCCATCTCATTTGTGTTGAATGCAATTTTCAGTTAGTTTTAAGTTATTGTTTTTACAATAATGACTAAAATTTGGGACTAAATTTAGAGCTTAAATGACATGGCAGTTGACTTGGGCTTTTTTGATTGGTGTCATGTCATTTGGATCCCAATAAAAATTTCAAATAATCAATTGTCATATCATTTGAACTCTAAATTTGATCCCAAATTTTGATCAATATAGCACTATTCTTGTTTTTAACAAATTTTGATAAGCTGCATTATATCTTCTTCTTCTTCTTAAAGGACGTGATACATCTCTGTCGAGGTTATTAATGAACATACCTAACAATAATATCCACGCTGGTGACTCTATATATTTATGTGCATGCATCCCTCAAAACTGAGTCAAATGCATGCTACCAGCAATTCGCTTAAGAGATGCAGCGGAACATCACGCTGGAGTTTATTATTTTATTTCAAAATGCACCAACTAGTAACGACTCTTTAATTGAATCACAGACAACTTCTTTGCACCCTATCTGTCATGTTTTCTTAGTAAGCATGCATTTCTTCTCCATTTCAAACTTGCCTGTGTCTTTGTCTCTGTCTCTGTCTCTATGTGTATATGTGTGTATGAGAGAGAGATTGAACTTTGAAACTAAAAGCTTACGTATGCTTGCTTGGTTGACTTCAATATGTGGCATCTTAGAGAATAATTGATATAGAATTATGTTAAATTAAGAGAGAGAGGGCCAAGTGTATTTCTCTGTGTCTTCAATAAACTACTTTTTCTTTCTTCTCACAAAATTGGATGAAGGATGTTCAAAGTTTAGAGAAAATCACAACTTTGTACTAGTAGTAAACTNTTCTTCTCACAAAATTGGATGAAGGATGTTCAAAGTTTAGAGAAAATCACAACTTTGTACTAGTAGTAAACTGATATTAAAAAAAAGCATAATGTACACATGACTCTTTTTTTACCCTCTTCCTCCCACCTTAATGGTCTTAATTTCAAATATCTGATGATGAAGGGCTAAATATTAAATGATTAATAATGTAACAATTAAATTTTAATCTTTACCTCATCATCACATCATTTAAGCATTTTTAATCAATTATTTTTTTTATTCAACGACCAAGACTGTTTGATCTAAATTAGGCGTACATTGACTCATCAATCTACTGTGGCAATTGATCAAGTAGCGAAAAATGAGCCCAGCAATGTAATGGAGCCACGTTTGACATGCACGTCGTGACAGCTCATCCTTCCTTCCCCACATGATTCCCACCAACAGCGGGATTTATTCGCGGATCGAGTCGCCTTAACCCACGGCCCCCTCGTGCATCTCTCTCTGTCTCTCTCTCGCCCTTTATAAACTCCAACTCCACCAATTTCCTTCCCACAAACCAACATCAAACAAAAGCAGACATATGGCACAAAAAATGGTGGCCGGTTTCCGACGATCCCTTTCCTTCCCAAACCATTCATCAAAACCCCACAAAAACTTGCATGTCAGATCAACTAGTCTTCCTTGTAGATCACACCCTCTGATTTCTCAGCTCCAGGATGAGATCAATGAGCTCAAAAACTGGCATTCCGATCCCGATAACGGAACGTCCGCTTGGCTCTGTGACGGTTTAAACCGCCTCAAGATTGTCCACGAGGGTTTCGACGATCTCCTTCAGCTTCCTCAGCCTCGTGAATCCCTCTGCCGCCACTCTGAATGGACCGAAAAGCTTCTAGAAGACTTCCTTGGTTTTGTTGACGTATATGGAGTCTTCCAATCCTTGGTTTTGACGTTAAAACAAGAGCACTTGGCGGCGCAGGTTGCTCTAAGGAGGAAAGATCATTCAAAGGTAGCTTTGTATGTGAAAGCAATAAAGAAAATAGCTAAAGCGACGAGTAAGCTCATGACCACTGTCAGATCATACGTCGGAGGACGATTCTTTATTTCAGAATCGGTGTCACTGACTGATGTTGATGCAGAGCTCGCTGAAGTTCTAGGAAATGTTAATGAGGTGACCGTTTTGGTCTCATCGACTCTTTTCAATGTAATTTCATTGTGGTTTGCGTCTCAAAAACCATCGTTGATTGGGCTGAGATTTTTGAAAAGAAGGGGTAAAAAAGTTCAGAAAGAGGAGGGTATTGGAGAGTTTCAGCAAGTTGGATTAATGGAGAGTTTGTGGGGTGGTTTAAGAAAGAAAGGTGAAAAAGAGGTGAAGATGGTGTTAAAGAGAATGCATGAGTTGGAGGATTGTATTTGTGAGATAGAAAATGGAAGTGAGAGAGTATTTAGAAGCTTGATTCATTCAAGGGTTTCACTGCTCAATGTTCTCACACAGTAGGAGGACTGGAGGAGTGGACAGAGATGTAAATCTTTTCTTTTTCATTTTTCAATATATATACTGTTTTGACATTTTTAAAAATGTATAAAAAAAAAAAACTACAGAAATCCGTAGATATGAACAGGCGTTGAATATGACCCAAAAAAAAAACGGGTGTTGAATGGTGTACAGTCATAGTTTGCATTCCCCAAAAGTAAAGACATTAATTTGTCGTCAGATGGTTGGTCTAAGATAGGTCAAGTACTTTATAAATATCTCAGTGAGTGGTAGATAAGGGTTCGAAACCACCGAGTGATCTAGTGGGGTACCGATCTTACCTTTCATATTGAAATTAAGAGTTCGAGTCTTATAATTCATATTAAAATTTGGTGGTTAGTCACTATACTAACTTAGTTAGTCTGATTCCGAGAAGTGTTTCAGGCACGATCAATGACTTTTTGATTCAACCGACGAGTGTTTATTGAGATGGTCGTTAGACGCNGTCTAGTGGGGTGTCGATCTTACCTTTCATATTAAAATTAAGAGTTTGAGTCTTGTAATTCATATTAAAATTTGGTGATTAGTCACTATACTAACTTAGTTAGTCTGATCCCAAGAAGTGTTTCGGGCACGATCAATGACTTTTTGATTCAACCGACGAGTGTTTATTGAGATGGTCGTTAGACGCTTTTCTTTACTCTCACGTTTTTTTTTTTAGAAAAAAAAAAAAAAAGATAAAGGTTCAAATATTATGTGAAGTGTAGTCTCTTTGAGCTATGACTCATAAATTTACCCTTAATCTAGAGAGGTGAGTTTGTACAATGTCTAGTATTAAATTTACCTCAGTAATCTATTGAAACAAATGAAATATGAAAAAGAAAAAACTTGTTGCCAAAACCGGTGTAGCACATTTAGGTGACTTTTGGCAAGACTCCNAGTCTAGTATTAAATTTACCTCAGTAATCCATTGAAACAAATGAAATATGAAAAAGAAAAAAACTTGTTGCCAAAACCGGTGTAGCACATTTAGGTGACTTTTGGCAAGACTCCAAAGAAATTAGAGGGAATTGATATTAAAATCTAATTGCTAGAAATAAAAAAATAAAAAAAACTGTCAAGGTGAATCCGACATAATTATAAATTTTGCTAGTAATTAATGTTGGTATGAGCAAAAATAGCTGCTCACATATTTTTATTAATGAATATATGTAGATATTGGGGGTCTATTGGGTTTAAGCATTTTTTGGTTCTCTCAATTTTTTGTTAGTTATAGAAATAACCGGCTAGACAATGTGGGAAACCAGCGTAGAGATTGATAATATAGACATGAATTTCAATTATTATCCCNGCAACTTTTTGTTAGTTATAGAAATAACCGGTTAGACGATGTGGGAAACCAGCGTAGAGATTGATAATATAGACATGAATTTCAATTATTATCCCAGCAAATAATCTCCGCCCCATTCACTATTAATAATGTTTACTCGCAAGCATCATTATACAGTCCATGAGATTTGAATTTCGTAAGAGACTAAGCACTTAAACGAACATGCTCTAACTTAATTTAAGTTACGGTGATCAATTATTGAATTTGACGCAAAATTAGATACCCCATAACACAAAAAAAAAAAAAGAGAGAAGTTAGGATGCAAGTTGCAGGAGCATTAGCAAATGAAATAAGGCAGCCTTNATCCATGAGATTTGAATTTCGTAAGAGACTAAGCACTTAAACGAACATGCTCTAACTTAATTTAAGTTATGGTGATCAATTATTGAATTTGACGCAAAATTAGATACCCCATAACACGAAAAAAAAGAAAAAAGAGAGAGAAGTTAGGATGCAAGTTGCAGGAGCATTAGCAAATGAAATAAGGCAGCCTTCATATGATTTGCTACTTAGAAATGAACTGTATTAACAATAAAATATAATAGAGACAGCTGATTCTTCTGGAAATTATAGCATTATTCATAGAGTAATTAACAATCGGTCTCCTTCACTAAAACCGTTGTCTCATCTTAATGCAGCCTTTTAACCCAACGGAATGACCTGGCTTTCTCTGGCTGTTTCTAGTGTTATAGAGCTTGGCAGTGGATTGTGGATTCCTCGCCGGCATCACACAGGCTCTTTAGCTAAAAGCTAAATTCATACTTTGCACACTTGAATAATTAATTAAGTAGAGAATAAAGCATCATAAGGAGCTGGCTTTAGAATATAGTCTGGTCGAGGAAGACTATGGTATCTAGGGGTATCCATGGTCGTGTTGGCCCACAGAACCTATTTCTCCATCTGAGGTTCGATAGGTCTTGATGGGACATTTTTGAAAGAAGACAGATTGACGACACGTGTCCTCGACATCGTCATGTTTTCAGTCAAGTATGACCACATATCCTCGGCGACACTCATCCCCATCTGCCGAGGGGATAGTGCTCGGAGCCGAGGGATCCCTAATCGGCGTGAATAACACATATGTCCTCGGCTCAGTAAAAATCATTGACCTCGAGATAGACAAATATTTCTCAGTGCCGAAGTATTCCTTTTGTACGCTGGATACAACCTCTCCTCTGCTTCTATAAAAGCTAATGATTGACATATTGCTAGCCTAGGCCAAGCTAAACTAATTATCATGAAAACGCTCTGTTTGATGGTGTCAAGAGGCATAGGAATGCAGAACATGCAACAAAGGAGGGGTGAACACGTGGAATTTGATATCAAATCAATAGCAAAAAGACCTGGGTACCTCTACTGACACATGACTAGAGCAATTATGCATTTAATGAATCCTCCTCCTGATGAGACAGCAATTAAGGTATGGGGGCCGAGAAGTGAAGTGCATTAAAGACCCCCATACCTGGGCATTTAATGCATCCTCGTCGAGAAGGGGGAGTTAAATGCTCGACAGATCAAGGAGTGAGTTTTAAATGCTCGGCATCCCGATTAGTTAAAGCAAACCCATTCCCTATAAAAGTGAGAGGCACACTGCCCCATCTCTGACAAATACCTACTGGATGGACTATCAACAATCATGAGCTTTTAAAGGTATAAATAGTTCTCAAAAACGCATTATAAAGGTACACAAGAATTCCTGAAAAGAATCACAGTACTTTCTTCTTCTCCTCTCTCAAAAAATTGACTTGATTGTCGAAGAGGATACGTCGGATAGCACTCCGGCACCCTTCTAAACTGTTTTTCTGTGTCACAAGATCCCCCACAGTCTTCCAGGACCGGTCAAATGACCCAACAAACAATTCATCACCAGTCCTTAGGGCTCCTTCGTCCCTCTCAACCTACTCCTTGTTGCCAAAACCCATTTTCGGATGAGTCGAATCTCTGCTACAAATGATCAAAAATCCTGAAAGCAAACCTTCATTCCACCAGAATTCTTATCTTGTCGAACCACAGTTCATCGTTAGAGAGATCTATTCCTATTTCTACTGTTGTACGAAAATCAACACACACAGGTCCAATAATTAGTATATNGCCATAATTCTTATCTTGTCGAACCACAGTTCATCGTTAGAGAGATCTGTTCCTATTTCTACTGTTGTACGAAAATCAACACACACAGGTCCAATAATTAGTATATCCAAGGCTAATTCCAATGTCTTTCAAGAAAGGACTTTGACTTATCTTCAAATTCATTACCCATCTCAAAATCCAACTCATGAACCCATCCGTCCAACCCACCTACCCTTCCACCCAATTATTTGAAAAAAATTTGACCATTGAAACTTTGAAAGTTCGGTGGCAATATATGAACCTAGTTAGAATGTATTCATTCCATTGTAATATAGTTTCTTCCTTATTCATAAATAAAATTATGCTAATTCTATTGTGATATAGTTTCTCTCTTATTCATAAATAAAATTGTATATTATTTTTTTTCCATTTAGACTCGAGTTTTAAACCAAAAATATAATTTATAAAAATATTAAGTTAAAATTTTTTTAAATTAAATTGTATATATATAAAATAAAAAAATTCGCCCACAAAATGCACCCAATAAGTGATAAGTTGGACTGCGAATAACCTACCTTTACCCAAAGTCCAACCCAACAGATNCCGCCCACAAAATGCATCCAATAAAGTGATAAGTTGGACTGCGAATAACCTACCTTTACCCAAAGTCCAACCCAACAGATAACTCGGGTAAGAACTTAGATTCCCCCAATCAGGCCCAACTCAAAAAAAATTTCAAGGACCCCAATGGTATCGCATTCAGCACTATATCAAAAATGATAACTTTTTAAAATTAAATTATAATCTTTTAAAATAAAAGTTTCAACTACAAAATGCACAAGTTATTCCAAAATCTTAAAATTACCCTAATCTTAAACTTTTAAAATTGTTAGAACCATCCAGGTCTAATCCATAGGCATCCATATCTTTTCAAATGCAAATTTCTTTAATTTGGGTCAATTCTTAGTGAGTGTTTTTTTCCCTTTCTTTTCGTTTTGGTTTTTTTCTACCGTACGTGGTTTCCTCTCCTCCTCCTTTTGAGAAAAACCTGAGTTGGACTCGCCAGATCTGAGTGGATCTTGTGGAGTCGAGATAACTCTATTATTGGACTTCTATTATTTTGATTTAGTCCCTCAATTATTATCATATCAATAAAGCCATTTTATCTAATTTATTGGTTGTTCAAACAAACCGAGGTAAATTCATGTGTTTGTCACATGACCGTCAACTTAATAGACATCCGCTTGTTTTAACAATTGAAATTGATTAAAAGATTTAGGGTTTGTTTGGTATTTTTTTTTGGACGAGTTTAGATTGATTTGTTCAAACTCTAGTTTGACCAAAGATGAAATTTAAAGAAGGAATTCAATATTCAATGTTGTTCATACCCATATTTGGTATATGCATGTACATATGACTATTATGATAATATATTTGTATTTAAATGACTATTGTGCCTCTTAATTAATTTAATCCAAACATGAGTATGGATATATAGAGGGTATAAATGTCATTTGAATGTAAAACCCCCAAACCCACATATGAAACTCACTCCCATGGGTTT